ATGGAGTTCATGTGGAATCATTAAATTTTCAAGAACAAACAGAAGCCTCTTCCGGTTTCTTCAGTAGTAAGCAGAGCTAATGCACAAATAGCAATCTCATTGGCTGATGTTCACCTATTACGGTCACTGTTTTGATTTCAGCAAATCAGTTCAAGTGAACGCAGACAACGTGATTAATATTCATTAACAATTGAATGACAAATAATGCATTCATACCTTTTAATTCCTACATGGTTACCATGTTTTAGTTTTAATTACATAAGCTCTATCATAAAAATGCTTGATTGATGTTAAAAGTGTACATTCAGGTCATATCAAACATTAATGCATTGTATTGAAGATAAGCTTATTTGGTGGACACTGGTTAATTGACAGTTTTTTTTCATCAATTTGATTGTTTGCTTTCAGACATCTGACTACATAAATGCAAGTTTCATGGATGGTTACAAGAGGAGCAATGCTTACATCGCTACTCAGGGTGAGACTTTTTGTTTTTTGAGCTAAACATTGTGTTGTGAAGTACACATACATGCATGGTACAGATGTCAGTGTGTGTGTGTGTGTGTGTAAATGTAAATGTCTGGGTTTTTTCAGGGCCTTTGCCAAAAACATTTGGAGACTTTTGGCGAATGGTGTGGGAGCAAATGGTTTTAATAATTGTTATGACTACAAGGTTAGTTTCCTTGTGTAAAAATGTATTTGCCTTTCCTTTAAGGAATGTTTTAATGATGCTTTAACTGGATTTTGGACAGGATAATACAGGGCTGCAACGAACAACAATACCATTCTAAAGTATGGGGTCAATAAGATTTAAAAAAACAAAACAAATTAATGCTTTTATTCAGCAAGGATGCTGCATGAAATTGATCAAAACTGACAGTTTTTTTTTTACTTTTACATTGTTACAAAGTTTTCTAATATAATTAAATGCAGTTCTCTCGAAATTCATGAAAACCATGCAGTTTCCACAAAAAATGTTAAGCAGCTTAACTGTGTTCAACATTGATAATACAGCTGAGAATACAACAGTTGAGAATATAACATCGATAACACCAAATAAATCAGCATATTAAATTAAATTAAATGATTTCTGAAGGATTGTGTGACAATTTGAGAGACTGGAGTAATGGCTGCTAAAAATTCACAGGAATAAATTATTTTCTTGTATTTTTATTTTCTTTAAATTCTTTTAAAGTATATTTTACAATGTTACTGTTTACTGTATTTCTTACCGACCCTAAATATTTGAATGGTATGTGTCAAATACATCTTCAATTAAAAAACCCTTGTTGTTTTTGTATTTAATTGAACACATTCTAAATGAGCTAAAAAGAAATCTAATAGTGTATCATTTTATATTCTATAATGTCCAATTACAAACTGCATCATAATAAACATGTAATTGCAATTGTGGTGACTCGATGTTTGTTATTGCAGCCCTGCGCTTTTCATTTAATGCATATGCATAATAATTTTGTTAATAGAATGTCTGTCCTTTATTCAGGGATCATTTAATTGAATTTATAGATATTTTTCATCATTATATTAAAAATAAAGATTAATATCTGACGAAGAAGACCAGTATAACGATTCTTGATCATCTTTCTATCTCTGTCTCAGAGTTGTAGAGCGAGGCCGAGTGAAATGCGGACAGTACTGGCCATTAGAGGCTGGCCGCACTGAGGATTATGGGTACTTTTTGGTGAGAAATGTCCATATTGAGATGTTTCAGGACTTTAAGCTATCGCACTTGGAGCTCTTCAACACTCAGGTCAGCATCTCAGTCACTGTTTTTATCCGTTCTTGACCATTTGTTTTTAGTATATTTCATTTCCATGAGCAATAGAAGTTCTGGTTACACTTTACTTGAAGGGGTGTGCATAAGACTGACATG